TTGGAACATACCCAAAGTAGAGGAAATTGACATTAAGCTTTTCATTTTGTTCCAAGAATACCTTTCCTCTTTTTTTCTTCCTCCCTTTCTTCCTTCTCTAGCTCCTTTCTTCCCTTCCTCCCTCCTTTTCTCTTTTCCCCTTTATCTTCTGTTTATTTTAACGTTCACAGGAGTAGAAAGCAAGCTCTCATGTCTTATATAGAATTCACATTTTCTAATGTCATGCTTGGGAAATATATGGAACTTCTAAGGGTTAGACAGAGCTAAGCCTGAACCTTTAAAACATGTGAAAATGAAGAGTGCTAATTAATTCTGTTCAGGTGTGTGTGTGTGTGTAGAAAAAAGCGCTATATGTGTGTGTGTGTGTGTGTGTGTGTGTGTATGTATGTGTGTGTGTAGAAAATGGCTTTATTGAGTCCAGCCTGTTTGCTGGGCTTTTTGATCGAGGTTTTTTTTCCTTTCATATCAGGGTGATAGTTTCAAAAGTTCTTCTGCACCAATCACTAACAGGCCACCGCAGTAAAGTGAACTTTGGTTTGCTTCATCTGACTGCCCCGTTTGCTTTCCCTCAGATGCCATCAACACAAAAGCTGAAACATAGTCAACTCTGGGTCAAAACATACAGAATAATTCCTGTAACGGAAGCAAACATTCCCGTGCCTAGCTTGACCCTCTAACTTCTGATTTCTCTGGATCCACTCTAGCATTTTCTAGTGATGAAAAGGCAGTTCTTGTTAGGTTCTTATCACCGGTGCCTGCGGAGTTAAGAGACGAGGAGAGGAATGCACTTTACGTGCCTCTTGAGTCCTGCAGTCTTGGAGGAAGGTTGCAAGTTACCAAGAGCCTGAGTTCAACAGCTTGCTTTACCCTTTTCAAAAAATGCTGTCTTTATGTAGCATGACTGCGGAGCCTTCAGGCCAGTCAGCTGGTGTACCCTGGCTGATCAAAGGTCATGAAGGGGTGAGTGGAGGATAGGGAAACCTTTCAATACATTTTTTATATACTTCAGATCACTAATCGGAGCTCTACAAATATATCAACTTGAATGTCTACCCCTGGGGCTATATTTCTGTTATTGAGTTTTCTGGTAAGAGCAGGAATCAAAAAATTAAGACTTTTTTAAAAAAATACACCTGGCTGATAGAAAAATGCATAAGTATGACACATTGGTTTTGTGTGTCTTAAGCTAGATGAAGAAAAATAAACTTGGTTCCATGTATGTCGAGAGAATAAATAAATTATCAAGAAAGTGAAAAGGCAGCAGAGAAAAGAAATGGTTTAAGAAGGAAAGAAATGCTATATATACACACAACTTGCCCTTAACTTTATGTTTTGGCACGTGTGGCTTCCTAGAACATTATTTTGAAACTGTTCAGGTTATGTCAAAGCTGCCATATTTAAATAAAAATTAAAAATTCCCTAATGTGACCACTTTTTAAAAAGCCACTACATCATGAACGATGACCACAGTGAGTTTAGTGAACATCCCTCATCTCATATAGATACAAGAGAGGAAAAAGAAAAAAAAATTTCCCTTGTGATGAAAACTCTTAAGGTTTACTCCTTTAACTTTTATATATAACCTACAGCATACTTGTAATATATGAAAGTTACTCAGTGGACATGCGTTTGAGCAAATTCCAGGAGATACTGAAGGATGGGGAAGCCTGATGAGCTGCAGTTCATGGGATTGCAGAGTTGGACATGACTTAGTAACTGGACGATAACATAACATACAGCAGTGTTGTTAAATAATACATTTAAAGATTTGAAATGATTTATATTTATTAAAGATCAATTATATTCATCATGTTGTAATTCAGGTTATGTCAAAGCTGCCATATTTAAATAAAAATTAAAAATTCCCTAATGTGACCACTTTTTAAAAAGCCCAAGGATATTCTCATACTTTAGTAAAATTCCAATACTTTAATATGTCCCTCCATTTTTACACATGTTATTTTATGTAATTATTATATATTGCTGGGGAATTCTTGTCAGTTTCCATTTTATATGAGAGAGAGTTACGTCTCACAGAGGTTTTAGCCTTTGGTCCTAGTTAATAGTTTAGTAAAGAGTAGGCCCAGGGCTGAGGTAGCTCTCTTCGTATCTCTGAAACTTTTGTATGTTTGGAATTTATTTTTTATTTTATTACAAACATATTTTTCTTACAGTTTTATTGAGATTTAATTGCCATACATCACTGTATAAGTTTAAGAAATACAGAATAATGACATGACTTACCTACATCATGAACGATGACCACAGTGAGTTTAGTGAACATCCCTCATCTCATATAGATACAAGAGAGGAAAAAGAAAAAAAAATTTCCCTTGTGATGAAAACTCTTAAGGTTTACTCCTTTAACTTTTATATATAACCTACAGCATACTTGTAATATGTGAAAGTTACTCAGTGGACATGCGTTTAAGCAAATTCCAGAAGATACTGAAGGATAGGGAAGCCTGATGAGCTGCAGTTCATGGGATTGCGGAGTTGGACATGACTTAGTAACTGGATGATAACATAACATACAGCAGTGTTGTTAAATAATACATTTAAAGATTTGAAATGATTTATATTTATTAAAGATCAATTATATTCATCATGTTGTACATTACATCCCTAGAGCTTATTTGTCTTATAACTGGAAGTTTGTACCCTTTGATGGCCTTCCTCCAATTCCCCATCCCCACCTTTGCCCGCTTATTTACCTTTTCCCCACCATCCTGTCCTCCTCTGGCAACACTTCTTTGTTCTCTGACACTGTTTCTGTTTTGTTACGTTTGTTCATTTGTTTTGTTTTGTTTCGATTTCCACATAATAGTGAAATCACATGCTATTTAGCTTTGACATATTTTACTTAGTCCATGTTTAGAATTTGTTGATAGAATAAAACTGTCCTTTTTTTCTTTTCATTGTAATATTGCCACAGTGACCACAAAAGAAGCAGATTGACTCAGAGCTCTTTAAGACTTTCTCCTGGACCACTGTGACATATCTGTGTGTCTCTGAGCTATGTCCACAGTTCAACGAAATTAGAAGGATTGTAAAGGGCCATATCGGACGTGGAGCAAGGAATCCACAGGGCATCAATTAGCTGCAACATGCCAGTAAAGAGGGATCCAGTACTTCTCTGACTCTGCCAGCATCTGCAGCCCATCAGAGGTGTGTTAGACACACTGAACTTGGCTCAGCCTTTCTGCTCAGCTGGAAGCAAATTGTAACAGAGAGATACATACTGTGAGATGCATGACCTTCTACAGCAAGATGGTAACGGTAAAAGGAGCAGCTCATACCTTTCAAATGAATGCAAACTTTCTTTCAAATGAGAAGATGCTTGTATGTAGTAGCATTTAAAAACAAAAAACAAAAAAACAGGTGTGCGCAGGTGTACAACAATACAGGAAAAAAAACAAGACGAAACCAATTTAAGAAACTTTGCTATTTAATTCAAATTCACCCACTGCCTCTAGTAAAAAATATGACTGAATTGGTAATGGAACGGAAATTAAAACTCATGACTTAGGTTTTGTGCATTTAGCCAAGTTCACCAAATATCAGTGACTCTTTGGATTGAACCATTTTGTCCCTTCTGCTGCAAATTCTTGCATTTTGATTCTATGTAGGCATGCCAGAAATAGAGGCAAAAATGAAATAAAACAAAAATAATCACAAATTCAAAGGTACTAATATCAGCATCAAATGGAATTTCAAAACATAGAAGCAAAAGAGAAATTTCTCCTCATTGTGTTCATGTCTGTGCATAATATTCTAATTGAAATATATTAAAACTGACAAACTGTTTTTAAGAAGAATGAGACAGAAACAACATGGTGAGTGGTTTAAAGAAAATGAAAAGACTTGTGTGCAATTAAAACCATCCTTACTTGAGAGGTAAAGCTGTTATAATGCAGGCAGTCAACAAGATTTCCATGAATTGTAAATACTGCTGCAGTGAATACTGGGGTGCATGTGTGGTTTTGAATTATGGTTTTCACTCAATATATGCCCAGTAGTGGGGTTGCTGGGTCATATATTAATTCTATTTTTAGTTTTTTAAGGAACTTTCATACTGTTCTCCAACTTATATTCAAACCAGCAGTGTAGGAGGGTAGTGTTTTCTCCACACCCTCTCTAGCATTTATTGTCTGTAGGTTTTTTGATAATAACCATTCGGTAACCCTCTCCAGTACTCTTGCCTGGAAAATCCCATGGACGGAGGCGCCTGGTGGGCTGCCTGCAGTCCATGGGGTCGCTAAGAGTCAGACACGACTGAGCAACTTCATTTTCACTTTTCACTTTCATGCATTGGAGAAGGAAATGGCAACCCACTCCCAATTGTTTATCGATAGATATCTGCACTCCCATATTGCACTGACTGAAAAACCTAAAGACATTGAAACACTGGCATCATGGTTATTAGTATTTTTAGACAACTAGCTATAGTATTATTGCCCCCTAACATTGCAATTTCTTGCTCTATTTCTGCAGCTCAATGACAGAAGTTCAGAATTACTCCTGGCACTTTCTTGGAAGTATTTCTGAGTATTAAAAAGCAAGACATCACATTGCTGACAAAGGCCCATCTAGTCAAAGCTACGGTTTTTCCAGTAGTCATGTACAGATGTGAGAGTTCAACCATAAAGGCTCAGCACCGAAGAATTGATGCTTTTGAACTGTGGTGTTGGAGAAGACTCTTGAGAGTCCCTTGGACTGCAAGGAGATCCAACCAGTCCATCCTAAAGGAGATCAGTCCTGGGTGTTCATTGGAAGGACTGATGCTGAAGCTGAAACTCCAGTACTTTGCCACCTGAGGCGAAGAGCTGAGTCACTGGAAAAGACCCTGATGCTGGGAAAGATTGAGGGCAGGAGGAGAAGTGGGTGACAGAGGGCAAGATGGTTTAATGGCATCACAGACTCACTGGACGTGAGTTTGAGCAAAGTTCTGGAGATAGTGAAGGACAGAGAAACTTGGTGTGCTGCAGTCCATGGGATCACAAAGAGTCAGACACAACTGAGCAACTGAACAACAGTGAGTGGAAAATGCTCTCAGAAACTGCCCATCCTTACCCCATAAGCCTTTTCTAGGAGAGCAGTAAATGCCTACAGCTTTCTCATACTCATAATTTCCCAACCACACCTACTACCTTTGTGGTCCCCTGGGAAGGCTTTGCTTCTTGGACCATGGTAGATCCCCACCCCATTATTCACTTCACTCTTTGGCATACTATGGGATTCTGACATAGCTCTTTTTCTACAACCCAGATTCCAGAAAATAGAGATTTCCCAAGGGCCATTTCTCTTAGCTCTTATTGCTGTGCATATTCCAAATAGCAAAATTATCTCTGTGCAAATATCAGACATCTTTCTGTGTGTGTATAGCACATTAGAAATGCAAACAGTGAATGGTCAGAGTTTTTAAAAGAGCAACTAATATGAAAAGAAGTTATTAAAGGCTGGTTGGAATTATGAAAGAGACCTGCAGAGGAAATTCTAATTCAAGGGGCTGCTGAACCTCTCTGTTCTTAGAGCCCTGGAAATGCGTGCATTTTCTGATTCCTCTGAATACATCTGCCCTGCCACCTACCTGCACCCACACTCTGAGCTTGACCGGCAGCTGCTGACTCAGTCCTCAACTGGCTGCACGTGGTGGCAGGAATGTTAATTATTGCCTGTAATCTACACATTATCCCAGAGAAAATAACAAGGTAACTACCCATGTTTAAGAAATACATTTATGGAGATGAGTGCTGCAGTCAAGGGAATGGGCGTTTTGCGGGCAAGTATTTAGGCAAGAATGTGAACCCTTCTCTCTCACTCCCCACACAGGCACCCGAGACAGAGGTTCATCAAGCCAGAGAATGTCAAGGCTATGTTCTCATGCTGAAGGGATCTTAGCAAGTATCTGTTCCTTTCCCAGGTAAGGAATCTGAGGCTTGAAAAGACTTAAGTCATTTGTTCAGTTTAACAGCAAGAGTAAAAGTTTAATGGAGGAGCAAAAGAAAAGAAGAAAAAAAAAGCTCTGAAATTACCTTAAGGAAAGTTCTTCCTTAATATTATTAATTCATTTTAATACTCCATTGACATTAACTTATATTTGTCTTTTTCTCCTGTTTCTTTGGGATGCAACACAGGATAAGATTCCATTCCCTATATCTTGTAGATGCTGAAATACAGCTCCCTGTGTGCATTCCCCGTTCTCAGGGATGGCTGATCCTATCCTTGTAGCTCTGAACTTTTTAGCTTTCCTTAAGACATGGTAAATTAGGGGCCAAAAGGATCTCCTTCTATATGACAGCAGCACTTTGGGGAGGCTGAACCTGTACCTCTGACTCAAGGCTGAGTTATTATAAGAAAACCAGATAAGGAAGGAAGAAGGTTTGCATTTCTCACTGTTGAAGACAGTTTGTCTTCAACAAATGACAGGATGAGAGGCAGACACAGCAACGTGTAGCGACTTGCTCTTCTATTTGACGATGGCGAGCTCGAGGGTTTACCGGTGCTGTCTTCAAGGCATGACCTGGAATACAGACTGACCCGGTGTTTCTGGAATGCAATTCTGTCTGAAAGGCCAAGAAAAGATGATAGGTTTTCAAGGCACATTTGGGTGTTCTCAGGCTCTCCTTCTATAACCCGAATGGAGATATTCCTGAAAAGCTGTCTACAGAGATAAAGAAATCTGGTTAAAATTCCATTATGTTTTCCTTTGGCTGGTACTGTATAATTGAAGATGTCTTCAGAACAGAAACAGATTGTTGCTTTGTGTGGGGGAAGATAAAAGCACACATCACATTGCGGAGAATAGAAACAGAGAACCTTGCCACTCCCCAGTTAAGGAGTACGTCACTCTCACCTGCAGAGTTCCGACTGCCCGGGCCTCCTTCATCAAATCAATTCTTCTGTTCTGCTGCTACCAGAGACATCTTCCTAAATTGATATGATCTTGCATCAATTCTCAAAATACTTTGGGTTGCTTTTTTCTTATTAGAAAATTCAAATTTAGTTCTGTTATCTTATCTCCCTTCCCTTCACTTAAAAATCTCTTTTCCCTAGTAAGTCTCATTAAAAAAAACAAAAAAACAAAAAAACATTTGTAATTCCATGGAGTGGGGGAGGGGAGGCGCAACACAATTTTTTTTTTTGCCCAGATAGTTCTATCCATTCTTCAAAGTTCTTTCCATTCTCCAAGGTCGAGTTGATCTGCTAGACCTCTCAACAAATAGATCTCTACTTTTCTTGCATGAAATGCATGTACCCATCAGTCTGGACCCGCTGCATGGGTGTGGGACACACGCAGTCACTTGAGGCCCCAAGCTCAGAAGGGCCAGTGCTTGGCTTAATACTCTGCTCTTGTGAAAGTTTCAAGCAATTAAAAAAAAAAAATCTAAGTAGTTTTTTCTAGAACCAAGACCAAAGCAACAAAACTGGTCTCTCTAGTAGTCCCAGCCCTGAGTTTATAAAATCTGCCTACATACCCACAGATTTAAGTTGTCAAATGAGTTTCTAGTAAGAAAACATTTTTTAGTTTACACAAACATTTTGCTATCTGCAGCCCCTCAGATGATTCCTTCAATACACATACTATCTTTGTAGTTTAACGTTGTTGTTGTGTTAGTTGCTCAGTTGTGTTAGACTCTTTGCAACTCCATGAGCTGTAGCCTGCCAGGCTTGTTTAGTCCATGGAATTCTCCAGGCAAGAATACTGGAGTGGTTGGCCATTCTCTTCTCAGGGAGTATTCCTAAACCAGGGATGGACCCCAGGTCTCTTGCATTGCAGGTAGATTCTTTACTGTCTGAGCTACCAGCGAAGCCCACTTACCTTTTGTAATAAAATTCTATATGTAGAGAGAAAAAGTGTTTCAGAACACAAATACAGAAAATCTAACGAGAAATATTACAAAATCAACTGAGCAAGCAAATCCAGCGAGAAGTCAAACCCATATCAGCTATCATACCAAGGAAGGCTGTGGCTTTCCAACATGGCATCACAGGCATAACAAATTCAGGGAAACGGACTACTGAGAGTTAGTGTAAAAAGACATTTTACTGTGTTGAGTCAATTAGCACTTTTAACTCACTGATTATTAAATTATGTTTCATATAATAAACAAACCAGGCCTTCTGTTTTGCCCCTTAATCCGAATTTAAACCATGGATGAGATGCATATAGTGTCTTGAATGTATTACTTTAGGTAATATATTGTGGTAAAAAATGGTAAAGAATCTGCCTGCCAAGCAGGAGACCTGGTTTGATCCCTGGATCAGGAAGATTCCTTGGAGAAAGAAATGGCAACCCCCTCCAGTATTTTTGCCTGGGAAATCCTACGGACAGAGGAGCCTGGTGGGCTACAGTCCATGGGGTTGCAAAAGAGTTAGACACAACCTAGTGAACAAACTTATCCTGCTGTGTTTAAGAATTTGCATTAAACACATCAGGATATTTCCAAACGCAATATACATATGCCATAGCTCTGGATATGTATTAATTTCTTTAGCACAAGGTTTTCAGTAAAAACCTCACAGCATTTGTCTTCCCATTTTTAAGGTACTAAAGTGTCCAAAATCCTCAGTCTTTTTATAGCTGTTGTCCACCCCAATCTTTTTCAGTAAAAGATACAGATTTTGCTGCCTCATTCTGGAGGTACAATTATTACCATGTCCTTGAGCTTCCTGGGGCTTTGTTTTCAAAGTTACTGTTTTAATTCTTAAGTAAATTGGTTTTCTCCTCCAATATTATGCCAGTCTTCAAAAGGCATAATAAAAAGAAATAGAAGTTTGGCTTTCTACTTGAGCAGGAGTAAATACTATGCTAATATAGCATTCGTCCACTTTCATAATGTTGCTATAAGCTATCCAGAGGCATCTTTATTCTCAATCCATGAATATCAAAGTTTGTTTTACAAAGTAATTTCTAAGTAACTCTAGAAATACCTGTATCATGTTCCCATTTGGTCCTTGTTGGATATCTTTTTAATCCTAATTTTGGAAATTTAAAATCATGTGTACAAAGACTGGTTATGGGTTGACATGGTTCTTACATCATATAAATGCTGATTTTGTTTACAGCAGAGAATTTACAAGCAGTATCGGATCTATTTCTCACCCAGGTCTTGAGTTAGGATATTTATTGTTTTTCTAGCTAACTAATCATTTAGAAATAAAGACTTTTTTAACCACAAAAATGAGATTTACTGGACTTTCACTCAAGATAGTGAACAGGTCACAAGGCACCAGTGAAAACTGCCATATAAAGAACAACTGTAATTGTTGCATATATTTTGATTAATGCCAAACCAGTTGTGATCCAACCTCTATTCATGTTTTAAGATGACAATAAAATGTTCAGAGATCTATTTCTCAGTCATTGGGTAACTCATCTGTAACCCAGTCAATATGAGATCTGAAGGAAATCTGTTGTAGCAAATGAGGATAAAACCTGAGATTCTTTAGACCCAGAAATGAAGAAACAATAACAACAATTGTACATATATTGTAAAAAACCATTCCAAGAAAGAAGAGAACTCACATTTTACTCAACATTCACCTACTATTCTTCTAGGTGCTACAGACGTTAAATAATTTAACCTTCACAGAACTAATGAGCAGGAATTCTTTGTTTCCTTGGCAGATAAAGAAACTGAAGACAGTAAGTCTGGTTTATCTAATTCTAAAACTTAACTTTCTTTCACCACACAATGGCAAGGATCATTTTGATTTTAAAATTGCTTCAAGATTTTTGGCATGTTGATCTCTACCTTCATAAGTAAGTGGGAAAATGTGATATTCTGTACATGTTCATCCCCACATAACAGTTAATAAAAGGTTTTAATCTGTCTATGAATTCGTTAATGACAACATTTATAATAATAGTCTGGACGTAAGGAAGGATAACTCTTTTCAGCTCTCTGTGCAAAAATTCAGACAACGATTTCTCTTCCATTTCTAATTCTTCATCTATATGTTATATTTAAATTGAAGTCATCAGCAGATCATAGTGGAAATCAGTTTGTGCCACAGGGCAAAATCAATTGACCGTATTAGAAGGAAGGTTAATAGTCACCTTCACTAACCCCAGCTTTTGTACCAAGTTTATTATCACCCTTGAAATAGAACCTGCACGATCAATTTCAGATATCAGAGCATAACACACACTCTACAGGGAACCCATAAAAGAAAGCAGAGGAGGCAATAACTCCACAGTTAGGAAAAATCACGGTTTTGATCGTGCGTGGAAAACATCAAATTAAACCTGGGACTTGGTATTGACTCAGCATACCAGCTTCTCCCAGCGTTCCAGCTGAAGTTTAATCTTGGGATGACTCCCTGGAGTGAGGCCTCTGGTCCTGTGGCACCCTTGCCGGCAGTACAGAATTGAACAGGTGCCGGCTTCAGGGGAGGCTTATGATTAGTTTCTTCAAATGTGCAAAAATAATGCATATAGGCGAGCACTCATCAACAGCTTATCATTCAAACAAAATCAAGAGGAATGAGGTTTTCAAAATTTCTCCTTTTCCTATGATTTGATCTCAGATTTGATGAAAAGTTCATTTCAGAAGGACTTTTTTTTCTCTGCCCCCAGCTTGGTCTTCAGTCCTCTGTCAAAAACTTGTTCTCATCCGCTTCCTTATCCCTTTTATTTCGGTACAGTTCTTTATTACTGAGGCCACAGAGGTCTGCTTTCATGACATCCAGACTGAGGCCATGATAGACTTCTCTCTGTGTGCAGAAAGGTTGGAAGCAGAGAAGGTAATGTTGAAAGGGTCAAAGTGATCAGAGTGGGCTAGAGAAGGTGGCCAACTTACTTACCGCCACCCGACCTCAGGTTTACCCTGGAAATCCAGGAGATAATGTCATTGCACAGATGCCAAGAAATAGTGCGTTCTCATACCATTGAGGGGCATTATTTCCCCTTGTGGTTGGTGTCAAGAATGTTTATTTTAGGTGAATACAGTTGACACATTCTACAGTATTTGAGGAAGGCAGTCTTGTTGAATGAATGGATAAGAAAGAGAGTGAATTCCACAGATAAAGGCAGACGTCTACAGAAAACACTGAGAGAGAATTTTCTATCACTGTCTATATATTAAAAGCTTAGCAAAACCTGAGCACCCAAACAGAGCTATTTCCTAATTACTGTGTACTTGGCACCATGCCAGGTACTTTACATGTCTGATTTACTTAAACGCCAACCACCATCCTGCTAAAGATCTTCTGGTGGCCAGACTTGAAGATGATGATTCCCCCGTGATCCTCACCTCCTGGTATTTGCGCCTCTGTGTCTCCTCTTAGCATGAACAGGGCTGATCTGTGTAACTAGTAGGATACTGCAGAAAGGATGGTGTGTAGCTTTCGAGGCTAGATGACACAAGGCACTGTGGCTTCTGCCTTGCTCACTCTTGGGTCGCTCTGAGGGAAGCCAGCTCCATGTCATTAGGACACTCCAGGCAGTTTTGTGAAAAGGACTGCAAACTGAGGAATTGAGGCTTCCGATCAACAACCTGCATTATTTGCCAGCAATGCAGAAATAAACCCAGAAGTAAAGCTTCAGCCCCAGTTAAGCCTCCGATAACTGCAGCTCTAGCCAGTTTCCTAAGTGCAGCTTCATGAGAGCCCTTGGCTAGTAGACCCTGGTGCTAGGGACCCAGCAAAGCCCATCCCAGATTCCTGGCACCTAAAAATTATATGAAATAATACACTTTTATTGTTTTTTATGGTTATAAGCCACTAAATTGGGGGGTCATTTATTATACAGAAGTAGATAACCAGTAAAACCTTTATTGCCCTCATTTTACAGATGAAGAAATGAAAACTATGAGAGCTAAAGTTACAAAATACTAGTACTTCTTTTGTTTCAGCATATGCCAGATCATAGAGACTGGATAAAGGATGACACGGGAGCCGAGGAGGAGAGTAACCAGGAATGGGCCAAGAGGCAAAGCTCACTTATTCATTCATTCATTCAACAAATAAACTCTTGAGAACCTACTGTGTGCCAGACACTGTTCTGAGCCATGAAGATTGTGCTGTGACCCACATCAAGGAAATCCCCTGCCCGCCGTCTCGAAGCTTGCATTCTAGTGATGAGAGGGTATGTCAAAGGGTACACCAAAAGGTAAATCACGAGGCACAATAGAAGTGGAAAGAGAAGCAGGCCTAGGGGAGAACAAGACCATGGTAAAGGCAGGCGGCCATTGTTTCCTTCCTGCGTTGTGGATTCTTATGACAAAGTCCTTTATTTCCCAACCCAGGGATCAAACCCAGGTCTCCCACGTTGCAGGTGGATTCTTTCCTCTCTGAGGCACCAGGGAAGCCCGTTATCTGAGGTGGCCTGAGTGTACTGCTCTGCTCTGTGACATGACACATGTTAGACGTGGGTCGTTTTTCTCTTTCGTGTACTCATGTATCCCATGTGCCTAGAGCTGAGCCTGGCACGTAATAGGTGTTTAGTAAATATTTATTGCAATGATTTAATGTCTTAGAAGAATAAAATTTTTAGGGAATTTAGTTGCCTAAGAAGCTGTTTTAGGTTGAGCATGTTACTTAAGACAGAGTGAATTCTGCCAGTGTAACTTCTCTTCCATTTTCAATAGAACAAAACTCATTGCGTAATAAATATGATTTTCCTCTCAGTAGCCATGCCAGAAATTAATTTGAGTGTGCAAGATCTTACAGTCTAAACCTAATACAAGGAAACACGTAGTTGGGATCCTAGGATCCTCCTAGAATCAAAATACAATTTCTCAGACTGTGAGTCTACACTTGGAGGTGAACCAGGATGTGTGGTGTATGCCTCCACATTGAAAGGATATAGAGGACTCGGACTTTGAATGCAGGTGTAACCACAGCCTTCTTAGAATTAGGCATCATGGGGTTAGAGTGGCTTCAGTCCTGGAATCATGGGAGTGGATTTCACAACAGAAACTGGAAGGCAAATCCTTGGAAATCAGGATGAAAAAACTCTCCTTCCTGTAGAGAGATGGATTCAGAGACTTGATTAGTTGTGTGGGCATGTGCTCATAAGTGGGTTTGTATGTGTACAAATGTGATTATATGCCTTTGTTTTTTGGAAGAGAGGTGGCTGGTGAACACCTTATTAGAACAAGCAGGTGGATAAAGTATGACATAGCAGCCAAGGCAAAAACCAGGGAAGTGAAGCAAAAGAGCTTAGACTTAATTTTGTGCGTTTAACACATGACTTGTTTTGTTTAGAGATATTTATGAATTTGCCTGTACATTTATTATACAAAGTGGTAATTACTTGCATACATAGGTTATATAGTGCTCAAATATGCATGGTTTATACATATTCAAATATGTCAAATCTTTGAGTAAAAATACTGGACTACTAAATATTTATACTTCTAATTGTATTAGAGTGGGGTATATCTGTGTCTATTTGTGGTTGGCAGAACAATGGCCTCTAAAAAAATGCCCCTGTCCTAATACTTGCAACCTTTGCATATGTTAAATTACTGGGTAAATGGGAATTAAGGTAGCAGATGAAATCATATTTGCTAATCTGCTGGTTTTGAGATCGATTATCCTGGATTGTCCATTTGGGCTCAGTGTAATCACCAAGGTCCATAAAGCAGAGGAAGGCAGAAGAGTCAGTGCCAGAGGAAGAGGCTATGAGTGGACTGGCCGTTGCTTGTTTTGTAGATGGAAAGGACCCAAGCTCTAAGGGCAGCTTGCAGAAGCTGGAAAAGGCAAGGAGACAGATTCTCCTCCAGAGAGGAGCAAAATGTTTCCAACACTTTGTCTCTAGCCCAGAAAGACCATTTCAGACTTCTGACCTCCAGAATTCTTAAGATAATACATTATTTGTATGCGGTGAACCACCAAGCTTGTGGTAACTTTCTATAGTAGCAATGGAAAAGTAACTCAATGCTATGTGCATTTGTAAGCTTTATGAAAACACACACTTTCAAAAAGTGAAAGATTCAGGAGTTGCTTTGGCTTATAGGCTGAAAAGTTCCATCTGGAAGTCAGATCCCAGTAACAGTCCTTTGACTCCAACCAGCGTCATAATCAATAATACTTACGTTATCTCTTGTGTACTTGTTGACACCTTGCAAAGTTGCACATCACGCCATGTATTTCCTAAACAGCAGCATTTAGAGCAGTTGTTTCCATTTAAATGCTGCTTTCTACAACCATTTGTTTCTTTTTTCTTTCTTTAATGCATTTTAATTAAAGGTAAGAAGAGAATAAAAAAAGATGAGAGAACTAAGGCAGCTGCAGTGTGTAGGTGTAAGATATTGCAGCCCTAAGCCTTCTGCTCAGTTTGAAGGTAGAAACACAGTGATTATAGATACATTTCTAAATGAAATTCTACATAAATCCTAGCTTTGAACATGAGACTTTATGGAAGGCAAAACCGACACTGTGTCTTTGTGAATGCACACTGATTTTTTATGCCTAATTAATTCTCATGATGGAAACCTATGTTGTAAGTGCTCATTCAACAGAAAGGTATTTTAAAAAATATAAATAATTGCACAAATAATTGTTAGGTAAATCCTTACTTTTACTAATAACAGTGCCAATTTCGAACATAGTACTTTAGCATACAGACTTACTTGCCCTTGCCAGGAAGTAAGAAAAATTGCAAAATCAAACAGTCAATGTGAGAATTTAAAGCCATACAGAGGAGAGTTAATTTAAATATGGCTTCCTTCAGGGACTCTGCTGTATTTAGACCAGTTGAGATGTGCTTAAAAAAAGGAAACTCACTTTAACATCAGCATAAGTAAAACAAGTCTGCCTCAAAAACATTCTACTGTGAGAGGTCTGTGGGTCGCCCACTGTCTTCAGTAGGTTGTGGTGTCTCATCACCATTTAGATGATCACAAGTGATACTCAAATCTGGTAAAATGTAGAAGTCAAGAGCAAAACTAGAATAAACAATATTGTTTCCTACATTGTTAAACTAACAGAAAAGACTGTAGGAATCTCAGTCACTGCTGGTGTATTACTGTCATTCATTATTAATAGTAATAATTTTCTTGCCTTCTAACTAGTAGCTGGTTTTGTATTTTAAAACAAAATAAGCCCCATGGCGCTCTATCTACTCCGTATTCAAATCTACTATTTCCTGATGTTCTATCCTCTTTCTATTGTAAATTCTACTTAAGCCTTTCAGGATCTTTATGGAAATTAATATCGTACCAGATAGAGTTGAGGGAGTTATTTTTATTTATACAATAAATTTGTACACATACAAAGCTAGAACAAATGTACTCATTTCAGTTAAATTATTTAACAGTCAAAGGGGAGTTAATACGTGAACTTAATGTTAAGAACGAAACTATTTCTAGTGAGAGAAACTTGAATTTCATTCCTGCTCCATTCCTATGTAGTCTTGTGGTCTAAGACAAGTTACTTATTGTATTTGAACCTCAGGGTTTTTGTTGCTGTTGTTAAAAAAAATTAAAATCTTTCCCTACCTTGTTGTATTAAGTATGTTCATCTAAACTAGGTACACTATATTGCCTATCTAAAATATCCTACCTCTGACCCCCTTCTTTCCCACTGGAATGCTGATTTGGTTCAGGTACTTTGATCTTAGGGTACAGAGGTATGTTCAAGAAGTAGGCATAACCTCCACTGGACAATGAGATAAGACAGGAAGACTTCTAGGGCCTCCCTGCAAAGATAGAAGGGGGCGAGGAGACTCTTTCTTCCATTCTGTCACCTGCTTTGTACCTTTGCGCACTATTGCATGGAAATACGGTACTTAGGGTTGCTCCCCCATCTAGTGACGGACCAGGCAATGTCCTCAAGGCTGCTGGACTGATGGGACAATCCAGAGCACCCCAGTGCCAGGCTGAGCCCATACCGTCTTACAGGCCAGCTTCACACTGACTAAGGCGCATCTCGTTTCTCTTAGAAATGAGAGACACACCAAGCCACCTTCAGACCCAGCAACAGAGGCAGGGAATGTAAGATCACGTGAGCTGTCGAGTCCCTCCTGTCCCCTGGCTGGCTCTGAACAAAACCAGAAATAGAAAAGACAGGACTTACTCACTGTCACATAGTATCTCATCATCATGTCATCTATTTTGGAACATTTCAACTCTTTGTCAGATTTTCTAAATGTTTATCTTTTTGGGGTTTTTCCCATCCACATTTTTAGAATTTTTCTATTTTTTGGTGGAAGTCTATTTTTTAAAAAAAAGCACATCTTTGATTACCTTGGATAATTAGAAATAAAAATGATATTGAAAAGAAATTACAGAGTACTGAAGAATAGGCAAGGACTGGGACAGTTGTTAAATATTATAATGATAGGTAGTAGTATGATTTTGTTAGGTGATGTTATGAGGGAACAATATTAGATCCTATTATTTTGCAAATGGGAAATTTGCTCACAGTTACAGATGAGTAAGAAGGGAAGTTAGGACATACCTTCGTTCTGCCCTTTTTTCTGTATTGTACAACTCTGTATAGGTCAGTACTTACCACATTGGGTGGAAGATAGAAAAAGTAAAAACAGAGAAAGGGGGGAAAAAACCCTACAGTTTAAATCCAATCAAATATTTGATTTTTAATCAAAGAGATTCAAAAGAGGTCAAGAACAGAGGTATCACTGGATTGCTACCAAAGTAACATCCTATATTTTTTATTCTTCTTAAGCCTATACATTTTAAACACTCAGTGAAAGAGAAGTTTAGTGATATACTGGCATGAAAACAAAAAATATTCCAGATCTAATATATTTACCTTTAGATAGAAAATATGGGCAACAATTATTGGCTTCATGTCTACTATGAAACAGGTATATTGTTAGACAAGAGGATAAAGATATGGTGCTTGCCTTTACTTGAGTATATCATGTCCCTACATTGTGAAGTATAATTTTTCACAGTATTTTGAAACAGGTGAAATAGGTATTAACACCAGAAAATATATGGGATCAATTCTCACTTGGTAACACTGACAATTAAGGCATGAGATAATTAATGATTTTAGAAGAATAATCAATGTTTAGTTTTAAAGGATTTTCAAATAAAGACTATTTTAGGCTTTAAAAATTATTGTTTAAATTTTTAAAATTAAATATGAACAGTGTGCTTATGCTTATAGTTTTAGGATTATATGATTTTTGAATAGCCCTAATAACCAAAAATCAATCTCAGTTGATTTTAAATAGTTGTCATAGTTTTTAGAGCAGTCAGTCATTTCATGACTTCATAAAATGGAAGTCATCAGTTTTCAGTAGCATGGTTTCAGGGATGCAGTGTGCATCTAAATTGCATTCAGCCATGATTTACTATGTAAGTCTGATTAACTTAAGTGTGTGGTACATTCTTTTTGTTAAAGTAAATGCAACAAATTAGTGTTCTAAATAGAAGGGGAAATAGAATTAGGGGAAGCCACCCAAATATCCGAGGTTATCTGGCCTGTTTTTAAATGCTTTTTTCTTCTGTTTAAGTGAAATCTCATTTCTATAATTGAATTTAAAAAGGTTGTACCTAAATAATTAAATTTCCCCCAGTTTGTATAATCAGATTTTGTTGCCATAATATGAAAGCAGAATTTCAGACTGCTCAAATTTTTTTATACTGCACTTTTTCTACTTCTGGAGGATGAACTTGCATCATTTTTCTTTGTATTTTATGAACTCTGAACATTTTAAATGTCAAAATAAACAGATCCTTTATAATCAGAAAAAAAGTCTTCCGTTTTGAAAACCATCATTTTATTATTAAAAACTTACCAGAGTGATGTAGAACACTTATCATTTTAATGTGGAGACACATTATTCATTGAGGATGACTTGTTAGGGAAAATTAAGTCCATGATCCTCTAGGGTTAACCACAGTGTTGTACTGGGTGGATAAGTGGATAAGCTCACACACCCTGGCATGGAAACTCTCCAGCTCTGCCACCTGTTATCTGTTTTACCTGGGGCAAAACAGATACTCAGGGCTTTTTCTCCTTAGCTTCCTCTTCTGTAAATGATTATAAAAATAGTAGCTTCTCGGTAGAGTTGGTGTGAGGATTCGGTGCATTAATCTATGCAAAGCCCTCAGAACAGAACCTGACATTGTATCATGCTAGATTCAGTGTCATCATGACCCATAATAGAGTATGAGGCTTCTTGGTGACGCAGTGGTAAAGAATCCACCTGCAATGCAGGAGACACGGGTTCAATTCCTGGTCAGGAAGACCCCCTGGAGTAGGGATTGGCAACCTATTCCAGTACTCTTGCTTGGGAAATCCCATGGACAGAGGATCCAGCTGGGCTACAATCCATGGGGTTGCAAAAGAGTCAGACACAACTTAGTGACTAAACAACAACAATAGAGTGTGAAACAGTCTTGAAAAATTAAGTCCCCAAAAAGGTTATTATGGAAATATTAAGAATAACTGAAAACATTCTGTGGCATTTTCTCAGGCCCTCTTCTCTGTGGGATCACACAGCTCCAGAAGAGAGGGATTGAGTGTTTGCCCTAAGGATGAAGATGGATAATGCCAATGGTCCATGAGCACCAGAAATATGCATAAACTTAGAGGAAAGGAAATACAAATGGCCAATTAACAATGAAAAGCCTTCAACCTTAATAATAACCAAGGAACTGCAAATTAAAATAAGGACAAGATATGATTCACTTATCAAATTAGCAAAGATGTTATCAAATAACATCTAAAATTCAAGGTTTCAAGGGTAGGAAGCACATTTTTATACTCCACTGATGGGAGAAGAAGTTAATCAGCCCTTTGGGACCTATTTAGCAATATACTGCTAAATAGGCTTCCCTGGTGGCTCATATGTAAAGAATCTGCCTGCAATGAAGGAGACCTGGGTTCGATCCCTGTGTTGGGAAGATCCCCTGGAGAAGGGAATGATTACCTACTCCAGTATTCTTGCCTGGAGAATTCCATGGCCAGAGGAGCCTGGCTGGCTATAGCCCATGGGGTTGCATGGAGTCGGACAGGACTGAGCAACTAACACTAGAAATATACAGAGGAAACATTTAAATGCTCATAACCTGTGAACTAACAGTGCTCTTTCTGGGGACTTATGCTAAGGAAATAAGAAAGACAGTCACACCAGCAATACTTACAACACTAAAAACTTGAAATAATCTAAATTTCTAACAAGATGTGATTAGTTTAATAAATTGCAGTATAACCACATGATGAATATGGTAGAGTGATTATGGTGATTTTCATAAGGAGTTTGTAAAGGCTAAAATTAGCCAGGAGTGCTACTTAATCAATACTGATTAAGTTCCCTCTAGGTGCAGGGGACTCCATGGTTGTTGCCTCCTGGGTTTACTTGCCCTGTTCATTATCCATGCTGCCCCTAGTTAACTAGTACCTTTGAGTCGTAAAACTGAGCATGATCTACTCAATCCTTTTTCCCTTTGGGTATCTGGCTGCTGGAAGACTTCTGTTTTCTTGTTTCTCCCCAGGAGCAGAGTCTTTCTCCAGAGCCCTGTTCTTTCCAGCCACATGAAAAAGACTGTTTTATCCAGTGCTGCCCAAGACAGGATTCTCAGTCTGCCTACCTCTGTGATTCAGTTCGAAAGATTATATGGCTATCATACCAAGCCACATACCAAAGCTCAGCTTTATTAATAAAAAGGTATGTTGATTTCCCATCTTCCAGTCCTATTTCCTATCTTTTTCAAAACTTCATGGGGAAGAAAAGTGTTACCTTCTAGGGGACTCTCCACACTCTCCTATATTGAAATTACATAACGACTTCCTTCAAAATGTAGAAATTATTTTAAATCAACAAACACTTTTTAATGTCATGGTTCCTGTGGATGAGGAAAGTGAAAGCGAAAGTGAAGTCGCTCAGTCATGCCCAGCTCTTTGTGACAGTAGCTCACCAGGCTCCTCTGGCTATGGGATTTTCCAGGCAAGAATACTGGAGTGGGTTGCCATTTCCTTCTCCAGGTGATCTTCATGACTCAGGGACTGAACTCAGATTTCCTGCATTGCAGGCAGACTCTGCCATATTAGCCACCAGGGAATCCCCATGGATGAGGAATCCAGGCACATTTAATCTGAATGCCATTGCAATAAGGTCTCTCAAAAGGTTGCAGTCCACTTGGACTGCGTCTCTGCTCTTATGTGATGCAACAGGGGAGAATTCATTTTCAAGCTCATTCATGTTGTCATCAGAATTCAGTATATTGCTGGCTGTGGGCAAGAGGTCTCCCTCAGCTTCTTGTCACAAGGAACCTCACCTAGAACAGCTCACATGTAGCAGGCAGCTGGCTTCACTCAGAGTTTAAGGAGAGAGCAAGAGAGTGGTCCCAGACAGGAGCTACAGTCTCTTTGTAACCAGTTCTCAGAAGTGGATTCCGATTACTTTTTGCTATATTCTCTTCTCCGGCAGTGAGTCGCTAGTCACTTCTCTAGCATTGAGTCATGGTCCACACTCATAGGTAGGAGATTACACAGGATGCAAATACCCGGAGGCTAGGATCACTGCAGACCATTTTAGAGGCTTTCCACGCCCCACACTAACATTCACATACCACCAGCCAGGCACAGAATTTTCTTGCTTAATCTTTGTAACAGCACAACGAGGCAGTTATGTGATTAGCCTGTTTTTAAAACCAGGAAGCTGAGGCTCAAAGATGTTAAGTATGTGACTTAAGAGCTCACATTTCAGTAAGTGGCAGATCAGGGACTGGAACTGTGGCTGTCTACTTTGAGATTGTGTTCATTTAACTACTTAGAAACTATTAAGGACAAACAAACTGCAGGCATAGGAGTACAGTTCATGCTCTTATTTATGTTAAAAAACATAGAAAATGGTGGAAGAAAACATGTTAAAATGTTTTTAAAAAGCCATTTAACTTTTGGGTGAAGGGATTATGAGTGGCTCTTTTTTAATGTCAATATTTATTTTCCAATGCTTATACAGCCCTTTAATTTATATAATGTGGGGGGAAAGCCATGAAAAAAACCAAAAGCTATCTCTGTTCTAGTGGGGTTTGCATTGATGCAGTAAGGGTGAAGCAGAGGGATGGGCCATCCTGAACGCAGGTAATGAAGGGTGCACTGTCTGTAGAGAATTAAACAAACAAACAAACAGCCCACCAAAAGTCAATCATTTTTAACATCACTCAATTCTGAACAATTTCAGTGATACTCTTTCTTCCTGGAGCATACTGCTGCCACCATCACTTCCCCCTTACCCATTTGATTAATCTGGGGATAAAGAAAATAAACACATACACACAATTATGTCAGATAGAGGTAAGTTTTACAAAAAATAAAGCAGGGCCTAAGGAGAGAGCAGATGATGGGAAAGGGTACTTTTTAGCAAAGGCAATCAATGAAGACTTTCTCCAAAGGTAATATATGGAGACCTCAATAAGTTGAGGGATTATGCATTGCTTTTATAATCAGAGAAATAGAGAAAACACTGGCTGCTGTTGTTCAGTCACTAAGTCGTGTCTGACTCTTTGTGACTGCACCATGCCAGACTCCCCCGTCCTTCACTGTCTCCTGGACTTTGCTCAGATTCATGTCCACTGAGTTGGTGATGCCATCCAACCATCTCATTGTCTGTCATCCTCTTCTTCTCCTGCCCTCAGTCTTTCTCAGTATCAGGGTCTTTTCCAGTGAGTCGGCTCTTTGTATCAGGTGGCCAAAGCATTGGAGCTTCAGCTTCAGCATCAGTCCTTTAATGAATATCAGGGTTGATTTCCTTTAGGATTGATTTTGCTATCCTACAATCTGTGGAAATTTACTATTAATTCATTTCTACACTTAGTCCTTTAATAATTTCAGGTAATTCATTTTTACTGAGTGCGTACTATGTGGAAAGAACTCTGCTAGACAATGGGAATTTAAGAGTGAGTAAAACAAATATGGTTTCTTTGCCCACTAGTTTTGGAATAGAGTGGGGAGCACAGTTCATCAGTGGGTGACTGAGAGACATCCACTGGTGAATGAAAACACACAAAAAAAGATGTCTTTTTCGTCATAGGGGACTGGAATGCAAAAGTAGGAAGTCAAGAGATACCTGGAGTAACAGACAAATTTGGCCATGGAGTGCAAAATGAAGCAGGGCAAAGGCTAACAGAGTTTTGCCAAAAGAATGCACTGGTCATAGCAAACATCCTCTTCCTACGACACAAGAGATGACTCTACACATGGACATCACTAGATGGTCAGTACAGAAATCAGATTGATT